ATAATCTGAAGTAGTTTGTCTTTATCTAGCAAGGATAGGAGCACATTTTCACTGTCTTATCTCAGGGCTATATCTAGAGCCAAATTGATACCCATGTACTACCCGGATGAATAATAAGATACAGCGGTTTTGGGCCCATTTACTATGTGGAAACCCATAAGGCTTACAGTTTTGAAAATAGTCCATAGCAATAGGGAACTCTGCAACATCCAGGCTGCAGTGCAAACTGCCTTGACACTTTGGCCTCATATCACAAAAGACACAATGCTTTAAGTGTGGGTGGCAGATAGGGATGCCTTATGAAGCTTGGGCAAACCAAATAGTAGAATGGCAATGCAGACTCCTAGAGTTTTGGAGTAAAATCAACTATTCTCCATTCAATAAGCAGTTCCTACCTTGCTATTGGGCCCTGGTGGAGATTGACTTGACCACAGACACCATGTGAGTATGAGACCTTAGCTGGACTCATGAATGGGGCATTTTGAATCATACAGCAGAATTCCACTGTTAAATGGAAGTGCTATGTACAAGGGTAGGCCTGGAAGGAACAAGTAAATTGACGAGCAGGTGGCTCGGATTCCCATAGCACTTGCTTCTACTGCTTTGCTGCCTCTACCTCAACCCACACCTATGGACTCATGGGGAGTTTCACTTAAGAGAAGGGGAAAAACCTTGGGCCTGCTATATGCTTGAGTGTCAATGGCATGGGACTAGCCATCCCCACTCTGGTTTAGCACCAAAAATCGGTAGTGATGCAAAACGACAAACATTGTATGATTCCACTTCTATGAGGTACCTAAAATAGTCAAATTCATAGAGACAGAAAGTAGAACAGTGGTCATCAGGGGTAGGGGAGCTGGAGAAGTGGGATTTATTGTTTAATGGGTACAAAGTTTCAGTTCCGGCTGATGAAAAATTTCTAGCTATGGATAGTGGTGATGGTTGCACAACAATGTGAATGTACTTAATGTCACAAAACTGTACGCTTAAAAATGGTTAAAGTAATAAATTTTATGTTATGTATATTTTACCACAATGAAAAAAAAAAGTAGCAAAAGAAAATCTTTCCAGTGGGTGGAACTTTGGTTTACATGAAAGGAGAGATGGCTTTATTCATGGATCTGCACCAATTTATGGGTAATGCCTAAAATAGTTGGTCAAAGACTTGAGAAGTTGAAGACTGGAAGACTGATAACAAGGATGTCAGTATGGACCTCTTGGAATGAGCAGCCTGTGGGCATATATGTAGCCTATGGCCCCAGGGGCATTCAGTGGAGAGGATGCTCCCAATAATCAGGTAGACACCTGGGAGAATTGGATCCATTCTCTAGTTGTCAGTTGCCTCCTTCTCTAGCCACATCCGTGCGTGTGTAATGGAACCATGCATGTAGAGGCCATGGTGGCAGAGATGGAGGCCATGCAGGAGTGCAATAACACAAACTTCTCTTCTTTTTAGATTTGATCTGATTACCACCACTGTTGAGTGTCCAACGTGCCAACAGCAGAGGACACTATGAGTTCCCATACAGCATCCTTCCCTAGCTGGCGGCTCCTGTTGGCTATGTGGGAAAAGATTGTTTACACTGGATCCCTTTGTGCACAAAGGCCACAGTTATTTGTCCTCATTGGAATAGATCTATACTTTAGATATGATTTTGCCTACCTTGCCTTCCTTACTTCTACTAGCATGACTATCATGGACTCATAGAATGCCTCATCTATTGCCATGGAATCACACATTACATCATCTATAACCAGGAAACTGATTTTGCGGCAAAGGTAGTAGGGCAACGGACTCATGCCTATGAGTTTTACTATATACTCCAGTACCTAGAATGTCTTGATAGAAAGGTGAGGTCACCGGGTACTAGCTGGGGACAACACCCTGAGAGGTTAGGGCACTCATCTAGGATATAGTATATGCCTTAAAACCAGCAGACGATAAATGTGGTCATTTCTTTACAGACAGAATACGCTAAGAACCAATGGGTGGAAGGAGGAGTGGCTTCCCTTCTACTACATATGATAACCCACCTACCAAAGTTTTGCATACCATTGCCATAACCTTTAGGTTGGTGAATTGGGAGGTTTGGGTGGGCAAGGCAGAAATTCTTCCACGAGTAAACACACAGGCATGTGCCAGTAAATTGGAAGCTAAGATTGCTCTCCAACAGACAGAAAAGAAGGTGACTCTACTGGCTGATGATTGATCCTGATTACCAAGGGGAAACTGGGTTGCTATTACATAATGGGGGCATGGATGACTATGTCTAGATCCCAGGGGACTCCCATGTCCAATAGTGAGTGAGAAACCATGGAAAATCCATAAAGATAGGCCCTTAGTAGGAATGAAAGTTTGAATCTCTCTTACCAGTTAAAAAAAAACAACACAAAACCTCATGCAGCCCAAGAAGCTCAGAAAATGGAAGCAGAACATTGCACGGTTATCAAGTAAGGTCTCATGACCAGTTATGGAAGTGGGAACTGTAGCATCTATATTTTATGATAATTGTTTACTTGGCCCCTTTTCTCTTTATGCGAAACAGCACTTAAGTGAAAAATAACCACTGATGGTGGTTAATATTACAGTTTAGCTGCAAGTGAGAATTTGATTGAATTGATGTATTTCCAGATCATACAGTAACTGATAGGACTTTGTGTTCCCCCTGCTTTGTTTTGAATTATTTTCATCTAAATGAAAGAAAAGGATAGACGGACTGTGCTGGTTGTTTTCCAATTGCCTCTCCAGATCCACTTCCCACCCTTCTCTGCCCAACTCTGCACCCTGGGAAGGTGACATATAAGGACTGTGGCCCCTGCGCTCCTTTGCCCTCCAGCTGTCAAATGGCTCAGCCAGTAAAAGGCACCAGGAAAAATTTGAAGGGAAGAAGGAGAGAGAGGCTGGGGTATTTCTTCCCCACTCCCTCCCTACCACACCTGTGGCAGTGATTTTGTTCTACTACCTATGGCTACCACACCTTTCAGGCATCGTCTTTCATGGCCACAGCTCTTGCTGGATTTTGGTAATCCCAAAACAAACCCCAACCTCCCCTTCAGGCCTCAAGGTGGTAACTGACTGCCTACTGTTGATAGTCCCAAGAGCTTTGCCATCCTTTATTGGTTCTCTCAACTCTGCCCACATCTCTGTATGTGGTTCTTTTATTACACTCTATGTTAAATCTATTTATTCCTTAGGTCAATGACTGAATATTATTTTTGAAATATTTGTTATTAAGGTATAAATAACATTCAACAAAATGCACAGGTTTTAAGTGTACAGTTTAGTGAGGTTTGACAAATGTATACACTCATATGACCACCATCCTCATCAAGATATAGAGCATTCCCATTATGTCAGAAGTTCTTTTGTGTTCCCACCCCCTCAAAGGCAACCACTGTTTTGATTGTTTTCACGACAGATTAGTTTTGCCCCTTCTTGAACTTCATATAAATGGAACTATATAGTATGAACTCTTTTGAGTGAGGCTTTTTTCACTCAGCATAATATTTTTGAGATTCATCCACATTATTGAGTGTACCAATTTTTCATTCCTTTTATTGTTGAATAGTATTCTATTGTGTGAATATGACACAGTTTGTTTTTCTATTCATTTGTTGATGACTCTTGGGTTGCTTGCAGTTTTTAATTATTGTGAATAAAGCTGCTATGAAATTTGTATACAAATCATTTTGTAGACGTAAGTTTTCATTTCTTTTAGATATACATTTAGGAGTGGGATTTCTGTGTCATAGGGAAGGTGTATTTTAACTTTAGTAGGCACAGCTCCTGAGGGAATCAGTCAGTAGCTCTTGCAGGTGCCTTCTGGCCCCTCCCCTCCATTCTCAGCAATCATCAGGCTTTAAAAGGTCCCCTCCAGCCCAGACGTGCGAAGTCTCACTCTTAGGTTACCAGTTAGCGGTTGGAAGAGAAGCAGCTAAGTAAATTCACTTACACCTACGTGTGAATGATTGTCAGGCCTCACTACATTTAACACTCTAGAATATTTGTATTTTTAAAACAAAGTTTATTTCACAAAGGAATTAATCACTAATAATAGCCTCATAGTTGACCTTTGGGGAGGAATAAGGAGAGGAGATATCTTTTGCGTGCACTTCAAAAATTATGTGATCTGGAAAATGACACCTGTAGTAAATCAGATGTGGGTTCAAATCTCAGTTTTCAACCAGAAAAGAGAGTAAACAGTCTTTCAGTGTCTGTGTTCTAGTTCATTGCCATGGGGTCAATCATGGGTTTCTTTTAGCACCAATCACTTGTTCAATCTTCCTCAAGTATCTGTCTTATTTAAGTGTGATCATTTTTAGGACAGATTGTAGCCTCATTCTGGGTCCAGCACAGGGGCAGGCATGCTATGGGCACTCGGTAGATGACAGATATTTGTTGACCAGTACATGAAGATGGAAGGGATTTGTAAACTGTAGAGTGCCTCCGGTGGCCCAGATATAACAATACTGATCTTTATTACTCTACCTATGAAGAATGCAAATTCTCCTTCCTTCACTGAACGGTGCTGATGCTGGAAGACAGGACAGGGGGTGAGTTGGAAGAAATCAATTCAGAGCAGGGACCGCTAAAGCAGAATTCATTGGGACACATTTTGAAAGTAGATTCCGAAAAAATCCGAATCGCAGGCCCTCTTCAGGTCAAGGAGCCCTGATTTGGGAGGTGTGACAACGGTAACAACCCCACCAGCGCTCGTGGTGTTCTTTGAAAAATGTTATGGTGTTCCTGGAAAATTCGTAACGGAAGCGATGGGAAGATGCCCCTTTTGGAGTGACTGTCAAGCCACGCTTTTAGAGAAGAGTCGTCTCGCTATTCCGTGCGTTTCATTCCTTAGAGTGAGGTTGGCAAGTTAGATTCTTCTTCTTTTCATAAAAATGTTCCTCCTCTACAGGAGGACACCAACTGGAAAGTCAAGAGGCAGAGGGCAGAGTTAGGCATCCGTTTTTTTAACGGTCTTCCTGGAGGGGCTCGGCCTCTTAGCCCGCCTCACCCTTTCGCCGAGGGTCCCCCAGGCAGAGGGGGGTTCCCTGCAGCCGGCTGTCTGTTCTCCCCGCCTCCCTGCGCCCTCACCCTCCGCCCCGGCGGCGCCCCGGGAGCTCGCGGTCCGGCGCAGCCTCTTTTGGCATCGAGGCCTCCAGGTGTCCAGCACCAAGGCGGAGCCGGGCTACAGCCGCCTCCCCGGCGCCACGGACAAGACCCCGGGGAGTTGGGGGCCCCAGCGCTGCGGCTCTGGCGTCCCCAGCTTCCCCGGGCTCTCCGCGCTCCTCCCTCTCGACGCGCCGGGCGCGAAGCCTGCGACGCGCGAGCAGAGCGCAGCGCGCCGAGCCGAGTGGCGCACGCTGGGCAGTGGCCCGGGCCGCCCGGATCGCAGCCAGAGCCCTCCTCGAGCCCGCCGGCCTGTGGACGCCCGGACCATGGCTGCCGAGGAGCCTGGCCTCCGTGCCCGGCTCTGGGCGGCGGCGCTGCTCCTGCTCGGTCTGCCGCGCCCCTCTGTGCGGGCGGATGGTGAGTGTCCGCGGAGTGCCCGGGAGGCGGCGGGGCCCGGGGTGGCGCGTGGGGTCCGGGTCGGGAAAGCGAAGCTCGCGGGGGTGCTCCCTCGGACGATCCCGGAAAACGGCAATCCTGGGAGGGAACGAGGTGAGCGGCCGTCCTGCGCCCCTGCGTCCCTCCGCGGCCCACCGAGTCTCCGTGCGCCCAAACGCCCCCTTGGGCCCCTAAACCATCCCTTCACGCCGGGCGCGCCCTGGAGAAAGCCTGAGCGTTGGTCCTGCAGTCCTGCCGCTAGCATTCCCAAGATCTCCAGGAAAGTTCTTTGAAATGAAATCATGTCTAGGGTGCCCTAGAACCTCCTCTGCAGAGATATAATATTCCACGTCTATTAAATGTGCTCCTGACGGCAAGGCCGGTGATTAGAAGACTCCCTCGGCATTTTGGCTTGGTCCAGGAGGATCTGACAGATGAGTGGGAATCAACTAGGCAAAGGGGAGAGGAGAGTGTCCTGAGTAGAGGGAATAGCACGCGCAAAGGTCCTGTGAGCGGCAGGGAAAATGAGATAAATGTTAGTGTGGCTGGAGCCAAGCCTGCAAGATGAGGATGTCCCACGAATATGAGGCTAGAGAAATAGGTAGGGACCAGATTATTGCAGGTTCTGAGAATCGACACCCCCTCCCCCCTTTTTTGGTTTTTTGAACCCGAATTCAGGTTTCAGTACTTCCCTTAAATTAGCAGAATTGGAGCCTGATATCAATTCAGTTTCAGAAGGCTAATTCAGCTGTATTTTGATTTTAGAACAAAACCCCGTTGACTTTATGCCGGAGGAGCTGAAAGAAAAGAAGCCAGCAGTTCTCGCATCTACGAGGGTTTCTGGCAAATCCAAGTTTGGGCCAGAGTAGATTGATTGGAGAAAAACCCTTGGCTGATTTAGGATGCTTTATGTATTTTAAAATGTCATTGCTATTTAGCAAACCATATTGGGTGAAACTAAAAGACTGGACAAAAGGAAGCGTAGTGGTTAGGGAAAGGGGAAAGCAAGAAAGAAACTTCTAGATATCTTAGAATTTTTGGCGCTCTTTCTCCTAAGTGCCAGCTTGCAGAACTCTTTGCTCCTAATTAGGGATAAATGTCTTATATCTCTATATCCTCAGAGAGAGTGTTAGAGAAGAAAACATTTTTAACTTTGAAGACTCCTTAGTGACCACTCTTAAGTTTTAATTGAGATATAATTCAAGTAAATTACCATTTTAAAATGTGCAGTTCAGTGGTTTTTGGTATATTCATTATGTTGTGCAATGGTCACCACTTTCTAATTCCTGAACGTTTCCATCACCCAAAAAGAAATCTCATACCTATTAGCAGTCAATCCACTGTTAATTCTTTACTGTAGTGTTTTTTGCCTAACATTGAGTCGTGAAAATTAAGCTGATTTTAAAGAATGCAAGTAGAATAAATTGGAACTAGTATTAACTTTTGAACAAGGTATACTATTGTACTAATTTTAATTCCTTTTAAAGAAATATCTCTGCAATCCACGAGGCTTTAGAGTTTCACCCCATTATAACTGCTTAAGTGGAACGCCAGATGAATATGGATCAATATTTTGTGCCTATCTGGCTTGATGTCGGTCGTAGAAAATTGAAGGCAGAAATATCATTGGACAAGGAGAGAGTTACGACAGCACCAGAGCGTGTTTTCTTGTTACGCTTGCCAGAAAGGCCTCCACGTCTCCCTCCTTTCTTTCTGTCTCCCCTCTTCCCCAATGGAGAATTATAGGTATACTTGCTTTCAAGAAACTTCATTTGCTGAGCTCCAACTTTTATAATAGAGCCATTGAAGAATTATAACTTATATTATGAAAGGATTCTTTTCTTTACTAAATATATGCTTAACTACCACCACTTTCCACATTTAGTTATTTGTGTGCTACAGTGATGGAAGGGGGCAGAGAAATGTCCAGCTAAACTGTGATGCGTTACAGACATTTGAAAAGAGAGAAGTGGAGAGAAACTATTTCTAAAAAATAAGTCAATGAGAAAAATTCAAATGAAAAACATTTAGTTTACATTTAACTAATTAGATGTGCATCTCATCCATAAAGGAGACTGCTACTGTAATTTAAAAATACTTTTGAAATTGAAAAATTTTCGCATTAACTGAATGCAAATTGTTTGATTACAGTTTGTTTGATTAAAGTTTGTGTGGGTAACAGGAAAAGAGTCATTAATTCAACAGGTAATTTATTGAGTATCTACTGTATGCTAGGTATTGTCCTTGCTGTTGAAGATAGAATGGTGAGGAGAAACAGGTCCTTGCTATTGGGGAGCTTAAAATCCAATGAAGGAGAGAGTCACTAAGCAAATAATTATATGAATGAAATGTGAAATTGCAATTTTGATAAGTGATAAGATTAAAGGACAGAAGGTATTCTGAGAGTATATACTAGGAAATTTTGACTTGGTATAGGAGAATCTGAAAGATGAGTAAGAATTAGCTAGGCAAAGAGGGAGAAGAAAGACTATCTGGGTAGAGAATAGCATGTGTAAAGAAACTGTGAGTGGCAGGGAAAATGGGACATGTGATAAGAGACAGAATGGCTGGAGCCAAGAGTGCAAGGTGGAAGTGGTTTGAAATGGTGCTAGGGAATCTGGTATGAGTATGACGATGTAGGGCCTCATAGGCCAAGTTTAGTTTTAATCCAAAAAAGGAAAGGAAGCCATTGAATGGTTTCCAGTAGTAGAGTGACTGATCAGATTTGCATTTTGAAAACATCATCCTGATTGTGATGTAGGGAGAATGGATGGGACCAGGGCAAGATTGGATATGGAGAGACCACATAGGATGCTATGTCAGTTGTCCAGTTGAGAGAGGATGGGGGTGGAGAGGTGGATGGGGTGAATGGAAAGGATCTGGACTAAAGAGAAAAATGTGAGTCATCTGGGTAAGGAAGGTCTTGGAAACCATGTGTGTGGATGGAATCCTAGGGAAAGGTTTTATGGTGAGAAGAGATGACCTAGATCTGAGACTGGAGTGAGGGAAACAGATTTAGGATTGAGTCTATGTTTATGAAATATATTAGGCAGGAATTTTCTTTTCTTGCAATAGTCTTGTCAGATGTTGGCATCAGGGTTATGATGGTTCCTAAAATGAATTGGAAAATTGTTCCTTCTTCTGTTGTCTGAAAGGGTTTCTGTAAGGTGAGCTTTTGTTTTTGTTTTTTTTTTTTTAATGTTTGGTAGTGAGGTCATATGTGTTTGGAATTTTTCTTATTGGAAGACTTTAAATGCTGAATTTAATTTCTTTAGTAGTAAAGGAATATTCAGATTTTCTTATTCATTTTGTGTTAGTTTTGCTGTTTGTTTTTTTCAAGAAATTTGTCCATTTCATCTAAATTGTCAAATGTATTTGCATATATAAATAATAATCTCTTATTATTTTTTCAGTGTCCATGGGATCAGTAGTGATATGCCCTTTTGTTCTTGATATTGGTAATTGGTATTTTCTCTCTTTTTGTCTTGATCAGTCTTGCTAGGTGTTTATCAATGTTATCATTCTTTACAAAGAAGCAACTTTTGGCTTTATTTTCTCTTTTGTGCATCTGCTTTCCATTTCAGTGGTTTCTGTTCTACCTTTATTTTTTCTGTCTTTCTACTTCTATAGAAGCTTTAATTTTATGTTCTTTTTTCTATGTTTTTGAGATAGAAACTTAGATCATTGATATTCAACCATGCTTCTTTTGTAATATGAACAGTTGAGGCTATAAATTTCCCTTAAATACTACTTTAGTTTCGCCACAAGTTTCTGTCACTTAAGTAAAAAAATTTTATTTCAGTTGTGGTTTCTTCTTTGAACCTGAAGTATATTTTATAATTTCCATGCACAGGGGGATTTTCCTAATTATTACTTTGTTATTGAGAGGCAGTATGACACAGGGTCAGGATCACTGAAATAGAGCCAGACTGCCTGGTTTTGTATCCCAGCTGTGTGATCTTGGACAAATCATTCATCCTAAACCTTAACTGTAAAATGGGGATAATAAAAACACCTACATCATAGAGTTGTTATAAAGATTAATTTAATGAATATTTGCAAAGCAATTTGAACAACACCTGGTGCATAGTAAACAGTATATAACTGATAAATAAAACAAGTGATTTTTGTTTGTTTGTGTTGTGGTTTAAAAAACATACTTTGTATGATTTGGGTCTTTTGAAATTTTTTTAGATTTGTCTTGTAACTCAGTATTTGATCAGTTTTACAAATGTCTTGTGTGTGCCTAATGTGTGTGTATTCTGTAGTTTGCAGTACTGGGCATTGGTCTTTAACACACCATCAGGTGTGTTAATTTTGTTGCTTAAATCTTCTATATCTTTTCCTTTTCTTTTTCTGTTTTCTCAATTACTGAGGGAGATAGTGGTTAAAATTTTCATAAGCATTATGGATTTTTCTATTTCTCCTTATAGTTTTATTAATATTGCTTTTTTTGTAGCCTAGAGGTCGGTATTTATTTAACAGTGTTTAAAATTCTTTTATATTACTGATGAAATAACTATCATTATAAGAGATCCTGTTCTTCTCTAGCAATGTCTTTTTTTAATAACAGTTTTATTGAAATATAATTCATATACCATACAGTTCACCCATTTAAAGTGTGTGATTCAGTGGTTTTTAGTATACTCACAGAGTTATGAATCACCACGCACAATTTTGGAACACTTTCATTACCCCAAAATAAACTCTGTACCCATTAGCGTTCACTCCCAATTTCTCCCCAACCCCTCAAGCCCTAGGCAAATACTACTTTCTGTCTTTATGAATCTGCCTATTCTGGACATTTCATGTAAATGGAATCATACAATGCGTGGGCTTTTGTGACTGGCTTCTTTCACTTAGCATAATGTTTTCAAGGTTCAATCATCTGTAGCATGTCTCAGTACTTCATTTCGTTTTATTGCTGAATAATATTCCATCGTATGGATATATCATACTTTGTTGACCCATTTATCAGTTGG